GTGATATTATCTTCACTGACTCAACCGAATCAAGTACCGCGCCATAATTTGTAATTGTAATTTGTGTGGGATTTCTATAAAAACTCAGAAATCCTTATCCAAACATAGAATATAGCAACTTAAACTGGTATCCAATACTTGATGATTTGAAAAACACTATTAAAATGAACAACCTTAATCCAAACTTCACGATTTCTTTCATTTCTTTGGCTTGTGTTGCAGAGAATAAACCAGTCCGTCTCTGTTTCGGCAACGATTCCAGGATTTCAGTCATGCTAAAATGACATGTAACTGAATGATAATGCATGCTGTTACATGCATGATACAACTGAAAATATGCTGCAAGTTTTAGCAAGCATTTGATTTAGCTCAATAAGACTACCAAATTTTTTGTTTACCTGGCTTTGAAACTTAAATCTGTGTATCGATCTGCTTCATCAATAATCAATATTTCAAGAGCTTTTAGAGCTCTTTTGAAATCTGAATTACATGATATTAATGATTGTAATCTTCCAGGAGTAGCTATTATCACTGCAGCGCTAAAAATCAATAAAAATTAACACCTTTTTATAGAATAAATCATCATCATCATTTTCGTTGCATGTTATAAACTATTCAGATATTTGAAAACATAGAACAAGTAATCAACAATAACATTGCCAGCAAATCTAATTTAGTTGTGTTTTTTTGCAACGAAAGTTAAATGGAAAATTATTTTAAACCTAAAATTCTCAGCGACTACAAGTATTGTCAATGATATTTCCTTGCATTTGATGAAGAACAATGAGAATAAAACAAACTTTAAAGACTGGACTGCTTTTAAGTTGCACTTCCCTTTTTTTCCACCAATCATCACACGCATGCTGAGAGAAAGCGCATCCGCAAATAATTTGCAGATTGCACCAACTTGTTTTGCTAATTCTCGACTTGGAACAATAATAACTGCACCTATTTCATTCTCCGGCCAAACCTGCAATACAGTATAATATACAAAAGTCAACATGACAAATAATTACCCAAAAATTTTATAGCTTTAGAATCGTGTACACATTCGTAATTCTACAACAACTGTCCTACAGCAAGAGATTTATCAATGATGTTTTATATATTTCATGATATTAGTCCACCATAGTGTTACCAACATTGAAGAACCATACCTTTTTTTTCTTCCATAAAAGGGTAAACAGTGGTAAAACATATGCCAGGGTTTTTCCGGAACCAGTTGGTGCTTGCACAATAACATCTTGGAACTTCAACAACCGCTCTATTGCTTGTTCCTAAAAATATATGAGTTTCCATGGTAATATATTTTAAAAAATCATTCAGATTCATCATGGACAAACAATGCCTTAGAAATGTCATTTGTAACTTTCATCTGATATATCTTCCATAATCTTTTCTATTTGTTATCAAAGCTACAATCCATAATACAAAGACGTTCTGCAGTAGTACGATACAAATATCAGTTATAATTCCATTCCTCCGACTTTGGTTAATAATTGATTAATCAGCTAGAAAAAAAAATTATTTAGCTTTCTCTAAGAAACACATGTTTGATCATATGCCCACATTACTTAGATTTAGAAATGCACATTTTCAATATCCAGATATTTCTAATCTAACAACTTCAAACGAGTATTTGGCTTCTACAGATTTGTTAAAAAAAAATAACAATGAGAAATATGAAAACACAGGGATTATTCCTGAAAAAAGTACGATTATATTAGAGAAAAAATTGGTTGTGGGATTAAATACGTCCACAATCATTTCTACAAAAATATCGTCAAGAAAATAGCCTGCTTCCACAAATCTATTGAAGTTATGAAAATGTTGGAAAAGAAAAAAGAAGATTTGACAAACGTCATTTTATCCAATCTTACATGAATTTTTTGAAAAATATTTGCACTAAATTATTTACAAATAAAGATCAAAATAATTTGTTCCAGCACTTTCTACTTGCTGTAACAGCTTCACCAGTTAAAGAAACAATCAAACACTGAGATAAGGTTGACGTTATCATATTATCAATTCCAAAATAAATCAAATCAGTTAGCCTAATAAAGCGGAATTTAAAGGAAATAAGTGTAAAACAGACCTAAATCAAGAAGACGGAACAAAGAGACAGAAAAAATTATTCAAATTAAATAACATAATTTATAAACATATTATAGTAATAATACATCATAAATTCTCATCACTGAGAAAAATAAATTAGCCTTCTAACACTTAAGATTCAACAATTTATTGGAACTTCAAATACGTATTTGTACACTCCAAACAATTATTTTTTTAATTTTGTCAGCTGGACAAAGTTCTTTTTTGAATGATCAGTGATTTAAACATCGATCTTATTGCTCATTGAATGGATAATGATAATATGCTTTTTTTCCTTCAATTATACAAAGATCCCAAATTTTTAAAGTCGAAAGAACATCAAGAACTGTTTCGATTCCATGGAAAACGAAAAGGATTTGCTGGCCATGCATCACGCCATTCACGATTTACATTTAATGGATATTCACGAATTCGTATGCCAACCACTTTAGCCAGAAAGAAAGCAATCAGGAAAGATGATATGACAACGATGAATGCAAACACATAGAATGTCTCCTGAATGATGATCCGTTAAATTTTAATATGTAATTTTCAAAATTATATGATCAAATTGTCTGAATGGCAGCAAGTTTTCATTCGTAATATTATGGATTTTAATCACAAAGAGCAGCATCTTTCATGAAAACTTACACAATTGGTTATAAAACACAATTGCAAAAGCCATCAAGGACTCTTCTATTCAATGTTTCAAAGCTATTAATGAACTAAATATAATATAAATCGTTTAATAAATAAATTTTAAGAGTCATTCAACATTGCTGCCATGTTTTAAGAATTCAATTTGAAAGTCTTTCAACATAATACAACACAATACGCGGACACTCACAGCTCACCTCATCAAATAGTTCATTGAAGGTCGGTATCATTTGGTTGGCTGTATGAATTAATTCCATCACCCATGACTTTTTGCCTTTACGTCCGCCCGACATATAATAATCACCCCATCGATAATCACTGTGTTCGCGCATCTTTTGACACTCAAGTACCCAATATTCACTGAAGGACAGATCTATCCTCATTCAGCTCAAATATCAGAAATCAAATTCAAGTTGGTTTCAAGCAAAAGCTTAAAGAACTTTCTTGCTAAATGTCCAAAAAGAAGTAAATGTATATATCTATCACAAATACAAGCAAAGAATGAGTTTAAGAGAAAAAGCTAACAATCATAAAAGAAGTGGGTGAAAAAAAAACTATGGAAAGATCAAAATGCGTATGATAATCACATATGCAACGAAAATGTAACAAGCGTATAAATGTTAAGTCAACCCGGAATGTTAAAATAACAGATCTTTCCAAAATTTAAATTTTTTATGGATTTTAATTTCGGAAAAAATAAGTTCAATGATGATATCAAAGTTGTGCAGAACGTTAACAATTAGAACATTCCGATTATTATTCAGTACAGGGTGTAAGTTGATCCTAATCTTAAGTTGGACAAAGCAACTCAGTATAAATTCTAAACCGGACTTAGGATTGCTAGATTGCCACATATTCTTCTTAAATAATTACCGATGGTTGATATTCTCTGATCAGAGTGTCCTCTCTGTAACTTAGACTTCACTATGCGCATTTCCCGTCGAAGTTTTAATAAAATTTGCTGACAGTGGCTTGGAGAATTTGATTTAAATCAAAAAAGCAAAGAGTTCTTAAGAAACGACTTCATTATTGAATTTAGTACACTAAATCTGAGCCTTATCTTTTCACAGGATATGATTTGATGGTTAGCATTATCAAATATTCGGATACCATCCAAAGTTTATTCTACGCCTAGAAACACGCGTTTCTAAATTATGGATCATAATAGTAAAGTTACTTAATCAAAACTTAAACATTGAAATCAATACCTGAACTGATGTGAATCCTTTGAATGCAAGTTTCTGGATAAATACAGTTAAAATTTCATCGGGTAACAATGAGTGGAACCTCTCACTGGCGCCTTGCATCGAAACTATTCCTCAAAAAAAAGAGACTAATTCTTGAAATACAACAATAATTCAACGTAAACGGATACAACAAAGTACCGAAAGATAAAGTGCTACAGTTATTTCTATAACAAATTTATGAAATAATTGTTCTAAACTATGAAATATTTGAAATTTCTAAATGTCAATATTTGAAATATCTAAATATCTAATGAGCTTCGAAGTGCATAAAACGTTGTATAAAAAATGAGTTTTGAAGTTGCATTTTACTGAAACTAAATCAATAATACCTTCGTATTCTAATTATCTTAATCTCTCATCAGCTAAAAAATTGCATTTGTAACTAAATAGCTAAAACCTAATAGCTAACCTAATAGCTAATAGCTAACCTAATAGTAACCTAATAGCTAAAAAATTGCAGCAAAATTTGTAACTAAATTTAATCAAATAACTCATAATCGATCCATTCATACAATCTCCACCAATATTTCGGAAAATCTTAGTATACCAAAAGTTTCAAATTAAATGCACAAATTTTGAGAGACCACCTATCGTGAATAAATTTTTAATGAAGATATTTTTGAAATGTTTTCTCTCACAATACAGCTCCATTACGAAATGCTAAATTTGGAGAAGGCATGTAAGCATATAAGCGAGAAATGTTTCATTCACGAAAGATGCACACATGGCCTGATTGGTGTAGTAGGAGGGAACGTAACATACTAGAAAGGTCACGCTACATCATAACCTTTGTTATAGTAGGAGATACATAATTTAAATAAGAAAAATAATTTGAATTTCTGTTTTTGACAAAACGATACGGGGATTCCTTATGTGTAAGTGAAAAGTTACACAGATGTGTAAAGTATCTATCAGTGATAGTTTCTGATCATCCTTCAAATATAGGATTAAACTTAAATTGTATTTCAAAATTGCGGAAACGTGGATGGGGTGATCATTAAATCCCAGACTAATAAAATCAACACTAATTATCACTTCGGTGATCGGTCAAAAAATCAATTTATTATTTTTTTTAGATCGCATATGTTGCTTGTATTCAGGACACGCTAATAATGTAATGGCTTTCAAGTTTTAAATATACCTTTTGTTTAAGCAACACTGAAATTTTATCCTTAGGGCATACATGTTCAATTACTGTTATAGGGCACAACGTGTGCAAATATGAGATTGGACAGTAATGCATGCCAGTATCTAGAAATGTAAGCAAATACCTCAATCAAGATATAAATAAACATCCTATCAATACGAATATCTAAAAATCGCAAATTTAACTGTAAATTGCAACAGCGTCAGATATTAGTCATAAAAAACAATAATTAGAATCTTTATCAATCCATTTACAATATCTGATAGAATAACATTTCAAAATACTAATCCGTCCAGTCCAAGACTTAATGTACTGTTAAGAGTCATAATAACGCTAAGCTTTCTTGATCGGCAAAACACAATTAATACTTGTGCTATTAAAATTGAATACAAATAAATATTAATAAAATTTAAACAAATTCATCATCCTAATACTCTGTTAGATTAATTTGTTAGATTAAAGAAATCATTCAAATACTCTGTTAGATTAAAGAAATTGTTTCATATATTTTTGGTGGTAAATTAAATATAATAGCTTGTATACGATATATGAGTGTAAATATATTTCGCATCGACAGAGATACAAACTAACAATATTTTTCATTGCAATGAAGACTATTTTTTATTAGAAGGAGAAAATTTTTACATGATAGAATTTGTAACAAAGTGAACAAATTATATTTCCAACAATCAAAACGTGTTCTAAAAGGTCAGAAATAAGTGAAAAGTTAGCGGGAACTAGCTGGTTGTCAAGAAAGATTCAACCATAGAAAAGACCAGTTAATGACAACGGTATTATTTCACCATTGGGTTGTGGATCTGCACCATGACGAAATCCTGAAAGTTTATAATCGTTGAATTCGATTTCGCTTTTGAAAGATAGAAAATGGTTTTAGATTATGTCATATTTAAAAGATATAAATTTATGCTAATAAAAATTCGACAAGAAAATTCAAATCAAACTTTAGTCATGTTTTATATGTTAAGTACAAACGCTCTTCCAAACTCTTTTTTGGAAAAATTATCCAGATTATCCGATATTATTCATATCCAGATTATCCGAATTTCATTTTCTAAACTGTTTGAATAAAATTCCTCAGAAAAGAGAATTTAAAGAATTTACCTAAGTACACAATGAAAGGAACACTTCCCCATTGTACAAAAATCCGGAAAATGTTAACCATTTGTCTTATTAAGTTCTGTTGTATCGAGGTTAACTTCATTGTTTCCAATTCTATCACAACTTTCACCTATAACGTTATCGCTCGTCTCTCTGTAATAAATGATTATCCACTGATAACTGATTTAAAGCTCTTGTCAAAATGTTACAAACATAAATATTATAACATTAATGTTGCCAATTATATCATCTTTAAGTCCAATGAATAATCAGAACATGGAGCACGAATGTGAAATTCATTCACATTGTAGCCATCAATTATTCAATTTAAACTATTAATAATTCCTCTGACATATTTTATCTACTCTCAATACCGTACCTTTTCTGAATTTATCATATATCAAGATCTCGATATTCTCTTATTGTGATCCGATACAAGTTACACTAGCAAAAGTTATCTGACAAGATTTAAATTTCTTAGCTACTTAGCTACTCAGTTTTGTTAATCTTATATCAAACAATTTCTTGAAAAAAAAAAAAACAATTCTGGAGATAAAATAACTCATGCAAAATGCAAATTGCCCACAGATCAAAGTATTTCTTGAATAATTAAAAATTACAAATATAGCGAATAGAAAATCGAAATTTCAGAGGAAGGACAGAATAGCAATGAACAACACACGAACAATCGATGTTATGAACAATATCTTCATTCATTCGAAAAGGATTTCTTTTTGAGTGGAAATTGCCAGCAAAAAAATACAATCTTTACAATTGGATCTTAAAAGTAATTCATTGTGATTTGTCGTGAAAAAAATATTGATGAATCATTAGATTTTTATACAACGTTTATCAGAAAAGCTCACTTTTTCTTGCAAAAAACCTAATGCAGGAAATTGCAGTGGTTTCCATCTCGTTAATTCTCGACTTCCTCAAAGTTTTCTCTCAAAAATGTCATAAATCTTCAATCTACTCCGCTGCTAAATGAGACTTTATACTTCAAATAAAACCTCAGTATTTTTGATGATATCCTTCTGACCATAATAGTCTTTTAACATGATGTTGAATGATGTAAATTCATGAGATCACGGAATTTGTTCAATTTGAAACTTGTTTTACTTACAAAAAGTCAGCGGCTGTTTTTGTGATCTTTTACTGATGAAAATATCAGATAAATTACATCACATGCAACGTAAAACAAACAAGCAAATAGAAAATTTTCAAATGTAAATTTCGAAATCAAGCCTAGCAATGGTGTAAAAAGCCTGCATGCCTTTTTTACGAGCCCAACCACCATTTTCAAATTTGCCTTCCCCTTGTAATTTCATCATTTCTTGGCTAGAAACTGGACCAATAATTTCCGCATTTTCATCATTCGATAATTTATATTCCCATACTACATCACTACTATTGGACCTTGCAGCTTCGTCGGTTTGTTTGCTTTCTCCTGCAAAACAAAAAGTTTATGGGAATTGACCAACAAATCTTTTGTTCTCAGTTTACCTTAACCAACGCTTAGCTATTCTATTCTTAATGTGGCACAACTGTTGATTACAATTCAAGTATCGCCGCATTACTTTCCTCTATTAAAGAATTCATGACAGAAGCAAGAAGCTCGTATTTACATTTTACTCTAATAAAATAACAAAATATAAATCAATTCTTAAAAAATCCAAAATCTAATGATCCAGATTTGCTTAAACGATGGAGATTTTGAGTTTCCTATTTTTACTAACTAATATCATTCAGTGCGTTCACCAGTATGCTGATTTAAATTTATCCAAAACTAAATGCCATAAACAATTTCGGAGAAAGGTAAGCAGCATCTCTGACTTCGAGAAATTATGAGACGAACAGTCTGTAAAGTAGTTTTTTCTTTTTTCTTATGAAAAGAACCTTTGATAGAGCAAGTAGGTACTTCATCCGAAAATATATCCAAGACATCAACAGCTTTACTTTGCAATTCTTGGATCATATATTGAACCTTCTCGAGCGTATACTGATAAGCTTCCATTTCACCATTTGATACTAGAGAATCAGTTAAACCTGTCAACTCTTTCACTGCGAAGTTCTTTTCATCAACATATTCCTTACCGGCTTTCTTTGCCGCCCATCTTTTCCTTCGCTCTTCTGCTGCACTTAAACCTAAACAACATTTTTATCAACTACATTAACAAAATTGGAAGCCATAAACTTTAAGCGTTTAATAATACAATAATTAATGCGATTTGCAACTGCGTAATAAAAAGAAAACTTTTCTAACAAAAATTTTCCATTAAAACAAGCGAATTAGACGCTCACCTTTTTCTTTTCCAAGCCTTGTTAATGCTCGTTCAATTGTTTCATTTGGTTTTAACATCGAAGCAATTTTTTCATATATACTTTTATGCTCGCTATCGCCAAGATTTTTTGTCGTTGAGCTGTCTTCTTCCTCAAAAAAAAAGCCTCAACATCACTTCAAACCACCATCTCGAAAAGCTTACACCAAATGCTTTCGCTGTGAATGCAAAAAAATCTTTTTTTTTTTGAACGTGCAACACGGTACATTAAAAATTTGTCAAAGATGAAATTCCCATCAGCATCAAAATGTCGATTTGCGATGATATACCAAGCAACGAAAATCAATCAAAGACCTGAAGCGTGAAAATTCGAATAATAAAATAACTCAGATTCGTTATGTTTCTTCTAAAAATAAAACTACGAATTGAAAGTACATTTTTTTGATGCCATTGATCTCCTGCATCTGCTTTTACGTTTGCCCAATCGATATTATCCAACCAAGCATCCTTTATTTCGGTTTCCTTCTAAAAATAAAAAGATATTAGAAGAACTCAGGAAAATGTAAAACTAAACAAATTGATTTAACTGACTTTGTCAAAGATGAAATTCCCATCAGCATCAAAATGTCCTTCTTCCAAATCTTCTTTCATATTGAAAGCCATAATTTTTGTGTTACCTTCATATTCCTGACCTGCTTCTTCCTGTCCATCAATCTAAAATAGTTTATACGGAAACTGTACAACTAACTACATCCTCATAACACTGCCCAAAAATGGAATTATACCAAAAAAGTGATTTTTCAATAAAATTTGGTAAAGTACGTGAAAACATTCTGCAAAAATACACTAATGATATGAATCTTGCCGTGACTTATAGATAATCAAATAACACATAACACTGTGAAAAATGCATATCAAAAAAGGCAAATGTAAAATTACAGAATATTCCACGAACTACCTGAATACTCCGAAAATGAGTATGAGCTGTCGAAAATGGTAAGTAATAATGAAGTGAAAAGAAAAGGAATAGGTTATTGGATAAATTAGGTTATTGGATTAGGTTTATAAAGGGAGATTTATTATGTAACAGGCAAATAAACTCTAATCCAGCTCTTTTTCAGTCCATAATTTTATATCATTTAAATATTTAAACAAAAAAAAACAAAACAACAAACTTTGTCCACATCCAGTTTTTTATATTTCACGTCTTCCTCTTCATCACTATCCAAAGTGTGCTTCGACTCGTAATCCTTTCTTGTATCTTCTCTGTCTTCCTCCTCATCCAAATTTTTCCCTCTCTCCTTGTCATCTTGATAACGAGCATACTTCTCACGGCTATGCTCCAAAGCTCCTTCATCCGTTAGCTCATCTACTTCTGAGAATCGCAGTTTGGCTTTTGCCATTACTTTTTACTTCCTCTGGAAAAGAAGTCAAAATGTTCCTCAATATATGGATAACAATTCATCCTTGGATAACAATTTATCCATCTGTGTGCTAAGTAATGAATAAAGTAATTGAACGGTACATATATGAACACGAATAGATCTTTCTCTTACTTTAACCTGTAGACAGACATAATATCTCCAAAATCAAAAAGAAAGATGATTGTTTAAACTTAAGAAATGAATACGGCTGAATAAACGGATATGACTAAATCTTTTAATCTCGACAAACTTCCTAATACTCCTACGAGAATTAAAATCCTAAAATTCAAAAAAAAAAGAAGGACGCAGCGAAATACGAATATTTGCGAAACGTTCCGACCGCTGCATGTCGTTTGTTCGACGTTTAGAAAGAGGTTGTATGTGGTCGAATAATCGATCTGCTTGGGGAGTGTGATGTCGTGTTGTGTTGTCGGTTGGATAGATGGAGTGAGTTTATTGGTGTATTACTTTTATCACTAGTTATCATTTATCATTACTGTTTATCATCAATTTTATCAGTTTTCTTTCTTCTCTTTTCACAGATGATTTTATTATCATAAGTTAAGTAATTTTGGATCTGCAAGCTAATTCATTTCCTTAAGATGAATAGCTTTTGTGCTGAAAGTCAAATAATTTTAATAGCACTAGTCAAGTAATTTCAGTAACCAAGTCAAATAATTTAATGCTGATAGGTTAAGTAGATAAAGTGTGATTTCAGTAAGGTTTTGAAAGCTGTAATTTCAGTTTCAGTAAGTTTTAACTTGCAATTCATGTAATTCCAATATAATCGAATAAGTATTTAAAAATAATTAATTTTTATTACCATGAGATATGAATACCGCTACTAGGAATTTTAATTTCACATGTTAGATTGTTCACATATATATGAAACTGTTTGTGATGTTAATCTTTGATTGTTGTTAGCTAAAAAATCACTACTTGTATTATTTGCTAATTGCTGTTAGGATGATGTTGTTTTGGCAGTCTGAAGCTATAGAAAAGGTAGCTTTTTACTTATATGATGAATTTTTCATTCCATTACTTCATTTTATGTGGACATCCATGATTTGTGTTTTTTATTAAATAGGATTCGAAAACGGATATATTCATCTAAAGCCTGATTTTATCATCAATGTAATAAGTCTCAATTAGGAATTATCGGTATTGTTGTAGTTGTGAATCCCTCTGCAAACGATCTTTAATGGTCATCCATAATTTGTATTTTTTATTAAATAGGATTCGAAAACGGATATATTCATCTAAAGCTAGTGATTTCCTGTTTCACAAGTTTATTTCAGCTTCTAAATACGAAGTTCATTTATAATCAATACAAGGATCACTGAAGATGGGAAACATCTTCACGAATCTCTTCAAAGGCCTCTTCGGCAAGAAGGTAGGAGAATTCATTTCTTTACTTAAACACAAGTCCGACTATTAAGCTTACTTAAAAGTTAGCATGTTTTAAGGTATGGTCTTGTTTCATTTGTTATCGATTCATTAGTCTGATATTGAGGTAAACGAAATTAAATAAATTTTTGTTGTATCTGATTGGAATTGAACTTCAGCTCGCATTCATTCTAGGAAATGCGAATTTTAATGGTTGGTTTGGATGCAGCTGGCAAGACTACAATCCTGTATAAATTGAAACTTGGAGAAATTGTTACAACAATTCCTACAATTGGTTGGTTCCGTGACTTTATACATAAATCTACTGAAAAAAGAGCTTCTTAAATGGGTTTGCTCAAGAGTTTTGAAATTTGCAAATTTTTTACGGACTAGCTCGATAAAACAGCAGTTATCATTCTTTTTTTTTTTTAAATAACATTGAATTTTTATCTATGGTCATGTCAGACTCAGAGGAGTTTTATATAACTTTGAAATGCTTTGCTTTAATGACCATTGTATCAATAATTTTCTCCTTGGATTTAAGTGGAACTTTATTTAGGTTTTCCGTTTGATGATGATATGCCATCTAATTAAGTATGACTGAAAATGATATTTCATTTCAGGATTCAACGTTGAAACAGTAGAATATAAAAATATATCATTCACAGTGTGGGATGTTGGTGGTCAGGATAAAATACGACCTCTATGGAGACATTATTTTCAGAATACTCAGGGTAATTTTTTAGTTAAAGGTAGTTAAGCGAAGTTGTTTCTGGTCTTATACTTATTTCGTTCTGAAATCAGCATTATCAAACATTGATGAAAGACCTTTATTGTAGGTCTCATATTTGTTGTGGACAGCAATGATCGCGAGCGGGTAGGTGAAGCTCGAGAAGAGCTAATGCGAATGTTGGCCGAAGACGAATTGCGAGATGCTGTCTTGCTTGTTTTTGCTAATAAACAAGTGATTTCTTTACATATGTTTCATTTATAATCTCCCTTGCAAGACTAATATATGATTAGTTTTGTCTCAGACTCAATTCAAAACAAACAAATTTGTTTCTAGTGGTGAAAAAACGCTATAAAATACAACGTATCACTGGTTAGGGCCTCAAGATTGGATGTGGGATTTAGAAAATGACAATCACCACACCAAATGACTCATTCATCAAAATGCATGGAGTTTCGTCGTCATTCTCGGCATGCATTTATCTGAATATATACTTAGTGCAGCTAGTTTGCTTCGTTAATTTCTAAAATTTTATTGATATTGTAGACCCTATACTAATGTTTTAGAATTCATAACTGGTATTATTTTTCTACTAAAAACTTGGATTTTTCATTCCCGTTTGTGCAAGACGTAATTTTTTCAGACAAACATAATTGCAGGATCTACCAAATGCGATGAATGCGGCAGAAGTAACTGATAAGCTTGGTTTGCATACACTTCGTAATCGCAATTGGTATATTCAAGCAACATGTGCGACATCTGGCGATGGCCTTTATGAAGGACTTGATTGGCTAAGCAATCAGTTGAAGAATAGATCCTGAAATTTGAGAATTGTATACAATTTTTTATGCTCGTCATCTGACATTCTCCCAAAAATGCTGCTAATAGCAAAATTAGTATATTTCAAGCTCTTTTAGGTTTGGTTTTACTACATTCTCATATTCCATTGTTTATCGAAATTGCATCAAAAATCTTTTCCGACCTCCATTTTCAGTCCTAATATAGCCTTTATTTTTTCCGTTTTTCTAGGGGGTTTTTTTATTTGAATTTAACTGAGAATAACATGGAATATTTGCTCACGAATTGACTCATCATGCAGAATGAGAAAAGACGTAAAAATGTGACATATATTTGAGGGCTTTTAATTATGGAAATTTTAATTAGCAATTCCTTGGTCTTCAATTCACTACCGACTCTTCATTTATTACGCAATTATTTTCTTCCATTTCGAAATTTTAGGTGAAAGACCAATTATCTACGCACATTATAGCTGAGATTTCAATATTGTGATAATTATGTTCATGTAACACAAACGATTGTTTAATTTTCCTGGAATTTCATTGCAAATATTTTTCTTTTTAGCGACAGTGTTGTGGCTATTTCAATCAAACAGCTGAAGTAAAAGTCAATCACTTATTTCCTTCTTTCTAAAGATTTTTGCAGAGTGTTATAAAACTATTCAGATATTTTTTTTCTTGATTCTAATCCTTGTTTATATTATGCAAGGCACACACGTCGTGCTGGTGGTTGATTGCTTTGGTAGTTCAGATGTATGTGTGTGAAACTCTTACCGGAGTTAGGTGCATGTTAGGTGTTTTTAGAACATCACCTTGTTGACAGGATGGATATCATTCTCATCTAATTTTTCTGAATTTTTTCAAAGGCAATGTCGTGGAGTGAGCACTTTGATATCACTACCCATTTTTCCCTTTTTCATTATCTAAATTAGAAACTTTGCAATATGTCCATTTAAAAAATCACTGCTATTTGCTTCTTGTATTCCTGCTATTTGCTATCCTTGTAATTGTTCCTTCTTCCAGTTTTCTCTTATTTCGTTTTGTGTGTGTAACTATCGAGGTGGTACACAAATTTACGTTTGTAATGATACATCGCACAAGTTTATATCAATTTCTATTCTCTTCTGTTCTACTGATTGCACTATAATTGATTGATTAAACTTAAAAATATAAAAGTTTTTGATAGGTTCCTTTTTCATAAAAGGAAAGATCGATTTTTGTGAGGTATTGCAAGATACATTTAAATTTTTCAATTCTTTGAAACATTTTTAACTCCAAAATGGCTTTTTATCGGAGAATGATTTAACAGATAGCAAATATACAACTTCATGAAAACATTTACGAAGCGATACATATTTTTTCTAATTCTTGAGATCAGTATCTGTTATTCTAAGATAAGTTTTAAATTTCATACGTTGTAGCCGTTAGATCAGTTTATAAGATGCATAATTATTATGTAGACATGGAAATAGATAGATGGAATTGAATTACGTTTTAAATTAAATGAATTATTTCTCAATTCCAGTTCATTTCAATGTGTCTTTACTTTTTTTACAACTTTTGAAATTGTAACAGATAGTTCAATTAAGAAGATCTTACAAATTTAGGAGAGAGAGAAAAAGAAGAAAGGGAATTATTAAATACAACAGGAATGAAATAAAGCTTAAATTTCGAGTTCAACTTCTGCCATCATCAGATTGTTGGTGCCATCGTTGTTGATGCTGTTGCTGACGATGTTGATTGGAGCAAATTAACGGGACAGCGACATCTTCCAAGTTACCTTTACGAAGCCTTTGAAGATATTTCGAATTCAATTGCATACCAATGTAAAATGTCACTCCTGCACTATTACTATTGCCTTCTAGTAGAGCTATACCAGCTTGATTAATACGTGAACGACTTTGTTTTCGTTTAATCATTCGTTGTCGCTGACGTGGGATATGTGAAGTACGCCAATTATAACGATTATATTTTGGACTGGAAGAAGAGAAAAAAATTGTAAAAAATGATTGAAAAGGACAATATTTTCTTTTTTTTTGTTATTAAAGATTTCGAATAATATTTACCATCCTACAAAAAACTTTTCTTTACATTTATTCCAATGTTTGGAAACTATTTAATACATCAATTAGTATAGTAGTTTAAATTAATTTTAGGCTAAACTTGAATTACAACTTATTAAGCTTAATTTCAAGTTCAAAATAATTAGAAGTGCATATTTACCTTCGCAAGAGTCTTGGTCCACCAGTTATTTGGCATATTTCATCAACAACCTGAAGAAAAACCATGAACAATAAGTGCCTTTACTAGTAAACAAATTATGGAAAAGTATGAACATTAATTAATCAAACAATTAACTTGCGAAAATGTCACATGAAATATCACCATCTTACTTCCTTTTCGAAATTTATTGCCATTATTGAGATTTTTTTTTAAAGAAAGATCACGTTAAAGGTTAAACATTTAAAGCTGTTAGGAAATAAGACGAAAGTAAAGTACTTCACGTTTATTCGTTTTATTATTGCTCAGTGGTGAGAGAAATGATTTGGGTATTGCATTCGAGACATCTTCTGGCTGAAAAAGAAAGAAAAAAAACTTACAACATTTAAAAAATATTACAATGACTTATTAGGATGGACATTGTTTTGTTTAAATAAAAAAGAAATTAAATTGAAGATAATGTTGATTGCAACAATATTACTATACAAATTTGATTTCAATTGTAATTTAAATTAAAAATTTTATTCCTGAAAACAAAAATGTAAAAGAATAAAATGGTATTGCACCACTGAAATATTTTGTGTTTTAGCCAAAGAAGATAAGCTTTGCTGCATAATGGAACAATAGGAAAAGTATACTCGTTTACGGTAGCGCCATCTTGAATTATCTAATGCAATTCTGCAGAAGAAAAAAAATAACATAATAGCAATTTTACAACAATTATAAACCTAAAATGATTAGGAAATCAAAACGAATATAATTTATTAAAAATTCTAATCCGAAATTTAAGAGTATTATTTTTGTAATTTTTGATTGTTTTAAATTACAATAACTTAGTCCTAGCAGTAAGTAATACAGATAAGGTATTCATCCACATTATATTTCACGAAAGAAGAATAGAATAAAAAAACGAAATTTTTAATAGTATATGGTGCTTTACAGTAGTGTACGGTAGTCTAGGATAAGTACGATAATCCATAATAATATGGGTAATTTATAATAAAGTGTTAAAACCTATGGTAATAACTTGTACGGTACATGAATTATGCCAGTGTGATATTTATTATCTGTTTAACTTCACTTTATACTTTATTTTATTTGATAAAATTCATTTTATTCCGTACCTAAATCGTTTTGTTTCACTGATAAACATATAAACCGCTTTCGTCATTAAGCGTAAATAAAGCTCAACAAAGATGAAAATGACGGAAATGATCGCTGCAGTACGGATCAGAAATGGATCATTTTGACCAAATAAATGTTCCTCATTATATCCACCCATATCAGCCGTAAAAGTAAATGTTGCATTAAGTAAGAGAAAAATACATGTAACATATTGAAATATCAATTGTTGTTTGAGTAAATAAGCATGCTTTTCTAAAATAGCAATCACGAATAGAACCTGAAATTTAGTCTTAAAGTATATTATTTCAAAAATGTTGTCAGAGTGTATATTTTAAATTCTAAATTAAATTTACATAATCTATCATTATTTATCTTTATTTATGTGTTTGTTATTTTAACATGTTAATTCATTATTCATTCAAAGCATCTTTTAATAATAAATTAATTTTGTTATTGGAAGGAGAAATCCAAAAGAGAAAGAAATTATAAAAATAACGTAAATGTTTACATAGCAAAGAATTAAACAGAATTAATTTTTCCGCAATCAGCACTTTTGAATTAATGAATATGTGAAATGAATCAAACAAACAATCATCAATTATATAATAAATTGATAAAAATTTGAAAGACTGAAAAATTTTTTTTTAAAAAATAGTTTGAAAATATTTGAAATGTTAATTTTTTTTGAAAATTAATTTAAAGCCCTGAAATTTCAAGTGGATTACGATTTCTTTCTTGAAAATAACAAAAATTTTAATTTTTAAATTAAAACTTACTTTTGCGCTAAAAAATATACTAAGCTGTGACAATGTAATAAAGCATAAAAAAGCTGCAATAGTTCGACCTTCAGCAGCAAAAAATGCTATGATATAATGTAAGGAATAAAGTAGCAAAAGTATCACACCAAAACACCATTCAATTGCGCAAACAACAATACCCCTGCAAATAAACATACAATCAATGAAAGTATATTAACATTGCTTTTTTTCGAAAAAAACAAAACAAAAAAAACTTCCGATTTATTTTAATTACATACATGAAATATTTAATGATTAAATAATCGACCTCTTCAAGAAAATCTTGATGATGTAATTGATCAACTGTTTCAAAATAAATTTTAATATTGTTCACCTTATGAGATAAATGATAGAATGATACATTACTTGTAAATTAATATATTTAACAAATATATCTTTTCCAATCTTATAGTAAGAAATGAATTGATTAAATATTAGCATGATAAAAGTTTAATCAATTAATATAATTTAATTTAATTGAAAAAGAAACAAAATTTTTAGAAAAAAGTTAAGTGATTATCAAATTTTAATTTCTTACACATTTCTTACTCTTTATTCTAATAAAATAAGTTGGAGAGGAAAAATGAAATCAATACATTAAAATATTGAAGCTATTGTTAAATATCGAAATTGCAGATTAAATGCTAAAATTGTTATTTAGATTGATAATGTAAAAAATTAACAAATGTTTGAAAAAATGACATAATAAATTGTACCAGGAACGAGATGCTGGTACCGGTTCTCTATTCCAGAAAAATGGCATCATAAATTTCGGATCCTGTGCATCGAATCGTCCTGGGCCAACAAGTTCACGTACTTCAATTGGACAATTTGTGGGCCATTCGAATTTCACTTCTGTAGAAAAGATGGAAAAAACAAATGTGTTTTCAAAAAAATATTTCGATTTCAAATCAAAATAAAAAAATTAATTGTGTTTTTGTTTTAATTTCAAATTTACGAAATTAAGAATTTTATAAAACTTACAAAATTTTAGCTTCAATATGAGATAATTTGAAATCGTTAACGATTTTTTTTTGATATTTTGTCTAAAAGTATCGAATGATTTTTTTATTTTTATTACAAAATTCAAAGTACGCAATAAAATGTTTGCCAAAAATGCTTCCATAACGAATATTATAATCAAAAGATTAAAAATCAGTCAATAATTGATAATATTTTTTTTCAATAATTATTTTTCTTTTTTGAATGTGAGTAAAAATCACATTTGAGAGGAATAAATTTTGAATATAAAAATATTGCTGTGATGAAGTGAAACTATAAATTATAAATTCAAAAAAAGTTATTCCGTTCACATAAATATTATTTATTCAAACTTTTCATTTATATAATTGATTTCTTAATTTCCCATATGCTATTTCAAATGATAGCTAACTTTATAATTAATTAGTCTTCTTTATTAGATGGACCGATAGCTTAAAATAATTATAACTTTTTGCTGCCCAGCATGAAAGGAACATTCATAATTCTAAGCTTGACTGTGCGAAATTCAGAATTTATATATGTTTTAAAAGTTTATGATACTTTGTGAACAATTCTATTCTGTTTTCACAGTATCATAATCTTTTAATATTTGATTTTGATTTTACAAGAAATCATTAGTTGATAATATGAATAAACTAATAAGAATTGAAATATCATAACTTGCGCTACAAAATTGCATAATTCATTAATTAAAAAATAAGATACAAAATAAAGATATTGGACAAGAAAATTATTATAGAAAATTAATATAACTGAAAAGAATTTGATTATACGTGATAAATTAGTGGATTAAATTAATATTTTAACAAATGATTTATTTCAAAAAAAAATAATTATCACCAAAATGTGAATTTGATCTTAATAATTAATTTATTTCAAATTTCGAATTAAAAAAAAAACTTATGATTTATTTTTAGCCCTTACTATAAAATAAAGCACCTGATTTATCGTTAAGTATTCGCCATCCATTTGTAAGATCTTTCCGACAATCTTCCCAAAATTCTCGAAAATGCATTCCTTAACAAATGGGTAATGTTGAGAAGATAGGTGAAGTCCGTCGAGTATACAGACAGAGAAACCCAATGAATCAGGGAGTAGGTACCTGTCTGTGAACACCACTCTTGCAATTAATTGATTAGATCATTGATAATAACATAAGTGGGAACACACATACATACACGCACATACACGCACACACACGCACATACATGCACACACACGCACACACACGCACACACACGCACACACACGCACACTCACGCACACACACACGCACACACGCACACACACGCACACTCACGCACACACACACGCACACACACACACACACGCACACACACACATACACAGACAAGAGATACAGACAGTTTGACCAACCGGTCAAATGCGAACATTTATGGGTTGTCAATTTTAATTAATACTTATGATAAAATGTGCTAATTGTGGAGTTTTACTTCGCTTTAAAAAAAAGAAAAAAAATAAAAAAGCAAATTTTGTTTCTTGAGAATTTTTTTAAATTCTTGTTTTTTGCACTAATTTTTTTCCTTTTTTTTGAAAATTCATCATTCAGATACTATAATTAAGCATAAAGATTAATATTACAAGTGATAAATGTGTAAATTTTATGAATGATAGCATATATGATCAATAAGTTTTGATCACGCAAAAGAATCAATATTGCTATACTTCAACATAAGAAAAGTAAAGATAATATAACTTTTAATTATTAGGGAAAAAATAATATAAAATTTAAATTATTAATGAAAAAATCCCTCATTTTCGTGCAGCAATCAATTTTAAAAAATATTATTCTTTTATTTTGAAATAAGTCAACTATGCATGATAAATTAACTAATTC